GCAATTACAGGGATGATAAAATGGAAAATGCATATATATGCAGCAGCAGCAGAGAAAAAACAATTAGCTTTGTACCAGTAAGAAATAATGCAGAACTCCTTGTGTCTTTAACAAACTGGCTCTCAATATGTATTGTAATGTATCTTCATGACCCAAATATACTTAGGAAGAACATGACAATGAAATGTATGTTGGAAATGTAATAAAGGAACTAATGCAGTAATAAAGGAACTAATGCAGTAAAGTTACTACATTTTATTAGTAGAAGAAAACAATTAAAATGATATCCAGGTAGTAACTTAGGAACCAAATGTCATAGCTGCCTCTTCTGCTGCCAAAATATGTGTACTCTCTTCCTAACGGTCTCTGTCCCCAAGGAAAAATAAATGTATCTGAGAAATACTTGTTAGCAATGCAATTACAGGCTTAATTCCCCAACCAACTTCAGACATCATAAAAACAAAACCAAGCTGAAGCCCTTTGCAACAGCAATGGAAAAGAGACAGAAAACCACAAAGTGTTCAGAGAAAGATAATAATATATTTTTACAACAACAGCTGACACACTCTTTGACAATAACATTTGAGGAGTCATTAGCATTTGTTTTTCAACTGTATTGTCTTTTTCTTTTAAGCTACAGCCTAGAATGAAAAACTTCTTCTAAGAGAACACCCCATGCTACTCCTCAACAGGACTTTTGGGACACTCAGACACCAAAGTAGCTTGCCAGATGCTCAGAAAAGCAAAGCAGCTGTATCCAAATAATATTTCTTGGCATTACTTACTTCTGAAGCTCTGGTCCCTCCAAGGAACTAAATGAGAGCTGAATTATTTGGACAATGTGAATTCAACTGTGAGAGATGAGACACTGGAAAGCTGATTCAGAGTACTTCTGAAATGTTGGCCCTAAGGAACCAAGATTAAGAAAGAGTTGAATAAATAAGTTAAAAAAAAGGACAAAAAGTGCTAAACCTCCCTTTTTCTGTGACCATGCTGATTAGATCCCATTCTTTCACATCTTGGAGAAACAAAACCTTCAAGAGGCCTAGTAAGGGCCACATGAAGTTTGTAGCTGTGCAAGGCTCGTAACTTTGGTGTTTTTCAGGACCCCCATGCTGTGGTCTAGATTCATCCCCCATCTCCTTGTGTACTTACCAGTGTGCTTCCTGGTCAGCCTGGGCACCCTCTGCTCTCCCACTATCCTTAGAAAGGACTTGAGCTCCTCCAGAGATGTCTGTCCTGGGAAGGGCTGTCTCAGACAATTGACTTCACTGAGAGAAACTGTGAGTGAACTTGGACACTTCCCCATGTGGGGAGTGGGTGACTGATATTCCTGACTTAAGGCTCTGGCCTCCATAGGATAATTCTCACTTGATTCAGTAGCAGCACAGACTTACTGTTGGAGGTAATGTTGTGCACCACAAAATGGTACCATGCTATGCTCCTGCTAAATCCCTACTCCGAGTGCAAACTCCAAGTTCTTTGACAAGGCTCTGAAAAGTCAAGTCTTTTTCTCCCCAACTACTTTGTGTAGTTTGAACTTCTACCGCTCAGTTGAGACATAATCAGTGGCTATCAAAAGTCTCCATTCTTGTGAAATATCGCTGTCAAAAATAAATATCCTGATGTTTAAAAATTCAGTATTTTAAAATATTCAACATTAACATCCTTGTAATGATTTTTGAATTGGCTCTAAATCAGGGTAGATATTTTCCTCTGACAGTCACTTATAAAAGGTTACTGCATTACTAGTTTCACAAGAAGAGGGAAGTGCTTTTTTTCTCGATTTGTCTTGCCTCCAGCCTTGGATCCCAAAATGACAGATCGCTGGAGAGGTTCCAGTTGCAGGCACTGGAGCTTCATTGGGTGAAAAAACATGCTCTCACTTAAGTGCAAAAACCGTAGTCTTCAAGAACCAGGAATCACAAATGCCTGAATCCCTAGGTTGGAGGCAATGCAGTGCAGAGCTGCTCGAGTTGATGCCAGAGAAAGCTAGAGAAGAACTTTGTGGATGATCTCTAAGATGTGTCATGCCTGGTAAAATTGACTGACTTCACTGGCATTTTCGATTAATAGATGCACCAAATTTCGCTCTGTACATTTAAGCTGTCAGTATCTACTCCCATAATAACAAGATGAGAAGGTTTTTGTGATGGGCTGGGTTTCTTTTCACATTTAAAATGTGGCTTATTAAGGTTGAAATGGGATCAAGGATATGCTTTTTCACTGATGGAGATTTTGGATAATAGTGACGAAGAGCTTTCATTTGTGAAGTGTGATGCCTCACACGTCTGTGTTGGATGCAAATCTTGAGAAATGTCCTTGAAGAGGGTCATTAGAACTGGTGAGATTGGATATGTGACATTTTTAATGTAGACTCAGAAACAAGCTTCATTATTATTGAAAGCTGGAGATGAATTTATTGAGATGGTCTGAATAATTTCTCTGAAGCAGAAATTCACAGACAGCTGCTGTCTCTCTCTTAATGAGTTTCAGAGTCTGTATAAAGAGGAAACCCAAGTCTTTGTGGAAAGCTCTGAAGAGATTTCTTTCTATCCTGCCTCACAGTCTGTCTCATGAGAAGCATAATCATCAGTACTGACAACAATAAACACAAAACAAAGGTCTAGATTGAAGGCTGGGAATGATCTATGGCGTTGTTCTGCTGGTATGCACCTGAGGCTCAAGACTCTTTTGCAAAATGGTGGAAACTCATCTATCTCCCTTAAAAAAGTTACATGCTTCCAGTGATTTGAAACAGAAACAGGCTTTAACAGTAATCTTCTGGGCTGGATTTTAAATTTTCCTTAAGTTGAGGGTGCTTAGACCTGATAATTTTCTTATCACCTTAGGAAGACTGAGTTCCATTGTAAATCAGGTCCCAGGCCAAGATTATTTTTCAGGCATCCCTCGTCTATGATAGGATGTTCATAGAATCGATCATAGAATAGTTGGTGTTAGAAAGGACCTTAAGATCATCAAGTTCCAACAGCCCTGCCATGGGCAGGGACACCTCACACTAAACCATGTCACCAAAGGCCTCGTCCAACCTGGTCTTGAACACTGCCAGGGATGGAGCATTCACAACCTCCCTGGGCAACCCATTCCAGTGCCTCACCACCCTAACAGTAAAGAACTCCTTCCTTATATCCAATCTAAACTTCCCCTGTTTAAGTTTTAACCCATTACCCCTTGTCCTGTCACTACAGTCCCTAATGAATAGTCCCTCCCCAGCATCCCTATAGGCCCCCTTCAGATACTGAAAGGCTGCTATGAGGTCTCCACGCAGCCTTCTCCAGGCTGAACAGCCCCAACTTTCTCAGCCGATCTTCATATGGGAGGTGCTCCAGTCCCCTGATCATTCTTGTGGCCCTCCTCTGGGCTTGTTCCAACAGTTCCATGTCCTTTTTATGTTGAGGGCACCAGAACTGCACACAGTACTCCAAGTGAGGTCTCACAAGAGCAGAGTAGAGGGGCAGAGATGTTGGTGCTTTCTAACCAACAAGATAAGTTGAGAAGCACACAGGAACACTGCAATAATGGTGATATTTATGGGATGGGGAGCCAGCAGAAGCCCTTGTTGGGTATGAATTATAAGCCTGTGTTAAGTTCCAGGGTGCACAACTGGAAAGGCTACCTTCCTTGCCCTTCCTTCCTTCCTCTCTTGGCAGCAGATTAAAATGGCTACTTCATGGCATTTCTGGGATGGTAAATAATGTGGTACTTCTCTCTTGGAAAAATTCTGCAAATGTCCTGATCCTTACTATTCATCCTTGGACCTGACTCTCTTCTCAAACCAGCCTTGACAGTCATCCACATTGTCAGCTCCAGTAAGTGGCTGCAACATTAAAAAACATTAAAGAGCAAGTATTTGATGTCCAAAGTTAGGAAGTCTTAGGAATGAGTTAGAAAACCGATCTCTTCCACCAAAGGGTCTTATAAAGGTGCATAGTCAAGTATAAGCACCTGGGAAAAGGCTCTTGAGAAAATGACATTAGAAAGGCAGAGGTGTCAGCACATTGTGGAAAAAAAACACGTATTTCTGCCACTTGTCAGTGGCTGTTCAGGAAGGTGTTTGAGACACCATCCTCTCCTTGGCTCACAGCTTCCAGGGAGGTGTTTGTACAGCTGACATGCGGAGGCAGCATGTGGACCTCTAATGGCATAAACCCATTATTTTTGCATTCATATCACATACAAATGTGCACCCCTACCCACATATATCTCAGAGCACATGTTCTGCAAGTTAAGGGAGGGGGGATCCCAGCTCATCATACACGTATTAGGCTACCCATGGTAAAAAAAGACTGCAGTATTTAAACGCAGCACCCAGTGTTTGCTCACTGCCTATTTCTAATCTCCCCTGCAAAGACATGACACAGGTAAGGATCTCAATCGCAGTCTGCTTCTGCCATGAATACAGTAAAACAGACAGCACCAGAGCAAAATTTCCCATTAGAGCTGAAGAGCATGTATCGGGGCAGGCTGTGAGAGAGGTGAGGCTGGAGGTCTTCTCCTCCCCTCCAGGGACCTTGGCTGCCCACAGGACTAACAAACAGAATAAAGCAGAAATAACAACTGCCGTCATTCCTGCCGAAATGGAGATTTCAATAACCTGTGCCACAAAGGACAATAATAAGCAGACTTTTCTGCTTCAAACCTAGGAGCAAACATGCCGGGGTAGAAATAAATCTTCAGAGAGTTGACTTAGATTAAAAGGCTTGCACCAAGCTGGGTGAGGGAGGTGTACTTTCTTCCCAGGCCGAGGAAGCAGAAAGGCAAACAGTGGTTTGAATGTTTCCAGACAAATTGGGCTGTTTAATTACCTTACCTTCCTTCTCCCTTGACCTCAAGCCAGAGGCTGGGAGAGCATGCACCCCCCGCATGACTGGAGTGCGTATAACAGCATCAAACATGGATGAGAAAAAAAGGGAAAGAGGGAGGGAGGCCTGAAACGTCCAATCTGACAGGCTCAACAGGTTGCTGGTTGGAATGTTAGTGACGCCACCAGCGCTAGGAAAGCAGCTTTCTCTCACAGTGGGTTTATTGAGAGGATTATTAAAACCTTTTCATTTAAAAGCATTTGGCAGAGGCTTCTGCGTGAGTCAAGAGGACATTTTTTGCCCACATCTGCTTCCAAGAGAGAAAAGAGAGTTTAAGGGGGGGAAAAAACCCAAGCAAAACCCTACCAACTTTCCTCATGGCTGCCAAAAAGGGTCTTGAAAGAGCTTGTCTTGTGAGTGAGAGGGACACCAAGAAGTACTCCTTGGCCCTAGACAGGTAACACAACTCTGTTTTCTTCACTGCCATTGCTTTGTCTTTGAGAGCAATATGAGATCACCAATATGCCAATGGACTGCAGAAGTCAAAGTATGGGGTGTTTCACGGTGCATACTGGGAACATCTTTCAGTACTTTCAAAATGTTTTGTTTGATTTTTATCTTCCCAAACTTTCTTACTAAATGTGTGATGCATTTACTAGACAGCAAGCCTGATGTGTCTGCATCTGTGATGGATTGAAGCAATCTACTGTTGACAAGCGTCTCCTGCTATGTATTTCATAAGCTTAGCAGATTTATTGTAAGATGCAAAACCTCATGGATTATGCTGCAACTTTAGGCTGAATTATAATAGTGCTGTTGACACCACATTTGATTCAAGGCTCCTTTAAGCTTGAACGCCTAAATTATCTATTTGGTCTGAAAGAAATGTGATGGTGTTAAGGACTTGATCCTGCAAAACTTTATTCATGTATATGGTCTACCAGACTTGGAGCTGGTGTACTTCTCATTTGCCAGAGAGGTCCTGTGAGTAAATGCTCACCTGAGTGAGGAAGGACCCTCTGAAAACATATAACGTAGCTTGGGTTAAAAAATGAGTATAAATGTCAATCACAAACTAGTTTTGCAGCTGAACTTCTTTTCATTCTTCCTCTTGACTCAGACCAGAAAGTATATTTAAAAGAAAATAGCTGCTCAGTTACAATTTAGCACCTCTTGACATTTCCATTATCTCATTGGTTTTCAGGTTATTTATTGCTTGGCTCTCTTAAAATGCGTGGGACAGAAACTTGGCATAAACACTGTCAGTTCAAATGGAAATCTGTCTCTCCATGTTCTTATACTGGGGTCACTGCCATCGTATGTTAGTCATTTGAGTGTCTGGGTTGCTATTTAAATATTATTACATGCCTCCATAAATATACATGGCACTGTCCAAAATGACTTTTGTGGTAATATTTATATCTTAAAAAGATCCCATATGATTCTGCAATTTGTTCTGGTTAGTGAAGACTCTCAGAGCTTTTTTGATGGTTTGCAATTTTGTGGGCATAGCTTCAATGCTTGAGGTCCTTTGGCCCTTTGCCACCTCTAGATGCAAGGACATCTCTGGACAAACCCTTTACATGGTACGGGGTAGGGTGTCCTGAGACAGGGACAATTTCTAGGCTGACTTGTGGGGATGCTCACATTTTCCCAGGTTCACCAAGAACAGAGAATATCCCCAGTGAGAAGAGGGGTATGATGCACACTGGGGACAAGAATCCCTGGCAGCTCATCCTCCTATCTGAGAGCTGACTCACTTTCTGGAGGAGTCGATTTCTTTCTGATAATTATATCTCCATTTAGGATTGAAGTTATTTGGGGTGAATAGCTGCAGCAATTGCAATTGTTGGGCTGATTGCTGCACATAAACCCAACAACCCCTCAGCTCAAGGGTTAGTCCCAGGAGGGCTCCACAGCAGAGGTCCTGAGATGGCTGAGTTACTGCAGTGGTAACACAGCTCTCCAGGAGAAGGAGTTCTTGTCCAGGCATGTGGCTTTTGTGCCGCACCTCCTCTTGGCTTTTCTTACCAGGTGGAATTTGATTAACTACACAATCTCATTACTCTGTCCCAGCAATAACCAGAAACAGGGGCTGAGAACTGGGGTGTCCCTCCTGTTTGAAGATCTGGCAGCTCATGGCAAGCCCTCGTCCTGCTGCTCCTTGCAGCCAAGTGACCCAGGATGCCAGCCTTGGGGCCAAAGTGTGGCAGGGGGAATGCAACCTGCTGGGCTCCAGCTTGCACAGGCTGGCTGTGTGCACAGCTTCAGGTGCCTTAAGCCGATCAGTAGAAATAAGCTCATCTTAGCCTTTGGTATAAATTACCGCATTTTTCCATTCCCTGTGTGTAGGCTTAATGAACAGCTCTAATGCTTTCAACAGAATTTATTTTGCACACAAATTGCCAATTTCTTTGCCATCCCCCAGCCTCCTTCTTTTTAATAAATGCCATTATTACAATACACAGGGAACAAAACTGTTTTTATCTTAACCATGTGAGTAGGAAGTCTGAAAACAGACCCCCTTCCCTGCACACAAGTCTGTGTGTGGGAGAATGCTCTGTACATTCTGGACTTGCCTGTATTCACTAGTGGGTTTGGATGCACTGAGGTTTGCCATGCCAGACTTGAAATGCTTGCAAGAGGGTGAGTTTTAACTAGCCCCTCTAAAGAATCAGGTCAGCTGCAGGCTTTCAGGGTCATTCATGTTGTAAAGGAACTGAGGAGATTTCTCGTCCAACTTCCTACTCAAATCAGGGTCAGCCAAGAGATTGAACAAAGTTGCTCAGGCCTTTTACCTGGTTCTAGCTCTCAGGATGGAGACTGCACATCTCCGGCCAACCTGCTCCAATACTGAATCATCCTCACATTCAATTATTTTAATTAAGTTCAGTCTAAACCCCTCTTATTTTAATTTATGGCCATTGTGCACATTCTTCCTCCATGCACAGCAATAAAGCTTCATCTTCCTCTTCAAAAATACTGGCAGGCTGCTTCCAAGTGCTCAAGAACCCACTTTTTTCACTAGGCTGGTCAAGCCCAGTTCCCACAGAAGAAGGGCTCCATCCTTGGTCACCATCTGCTGAACCTGTGCCAGTTTATTGATCTTTCCTGTACTGAGCACTCCAAAACTGGGCACAATATTCTGGATGTGTCTCAAAAATCTGTCCCAGGTGGAGGACTTTGCATTTGTTCCTGCCAAATCTCAGAAGGCTCCTGCTGATCCCATTCTCCAGCTTCATTATGGCAGCATTTCCCTTCAGTGTGTCACTTGCATCCCTGGACTAGCATCATCTGCCAACTTGATCAGAGTGCACTCCAACTCCTTCCCCAGGTAACAGAGAAAGGTATTACATGGGACTGCTCCCAGGATAGGACATCACTTCTCACCAGCCTCCAGGAAGGGTATGAACTTGCATATAATGGCATCAGGGTCTGAAGCTGAGCACTCAGAACCTCCTTCTTAGTGCAAAACATGCTGCCTGTAAGTCATGTCAGGAAAGATTCATATAATGTCTCTTTAAAGTAGGTTTAAATAAGATGTCTGAATAAGGTGTCTGAGATAGTTTTCTATGGTCTTTTTACAGTCAATGCTGGTGGTGGGAGAGCATATCTAGTGGTCGAGATATCCACTTATCAAAGTCTAGGGAATATCTTGAGCATATTAATGAAGTTTCCATGAATGAAGGCAGGCCAGATGACTTTATTTCTTTCTGACAATAGATCAGAGCACTATTGGACAGAAATATTCAATATCCCACTGCATAAATCAATGGATTTGCATTAGATTGTACCAACTACACTGTGAACTAGATTTTGGCTTGATCCAGCATGGGTTTCTGGATCTCTGATTATGTTCTTTATATAACAGTATAGTGAGATTTGAATACCATCACACAAGAGAAGCTCAAGACTTCTGGTTTCAAGGTCTTTATTTGTCTCTGAGTCAAGAGACAAGAAAAAGAAATAAAGGACAGCAATGCTGAAAGCAGGAAAGATGTGTCAAACCTTAGGGCTCGTCTTCATGTAAAAATTTTCAATAGAGGACATTAGTGTGACTTGTAGTTATTCCTATCTGTTAGTGAAGCCTTAGGCTTGTAATTGATTCTTGTCTCCCAGGTTCATTCCAGTAGACAAAAAGTTTGAAGTGACCCTGGGGGACGATTTCTTCAGGTGGAGATTGATTTTCTATAACAAGCACTTAGGGAATATTTTCTTCTTCTTCTGCCTTCCTGCAGGCAATATGAAAACTCTTATAAGATCAAGAGTCCTCATCAAATAAAGACTTTCCAGCACTTCTTGCTTTGCAGAAGTCAGTGCTCAGGAAAACGTTAGGCATTTCTTGTGACTTTTGAAGAGTTTTAGCTGTGGGCTCTGTGGTTATTTTCCTTTGTACTGGCTTGCCAGCCTGTCCCAGGAGCATACAGTATCTTAGGGGACTCAGCAAGACCCATTCCATTGCTTTTGTCCTCAGGTGACATTAGTACCCTGTAGAAAGGACTGTGTCTACCCAGTACTGGCCACACACCGTCTCCATTATACTCACTTCAGTTATAGCCACTTCATCTCAGAAAAAAACATTAGAACCAAGATAGTAAGAAGTATGAAACAGAAATTAAATAACAGGGGTATAACAATGGTGCACAGCATCATGAATGATGTGATGAAGGTAAACAGGGAATAGTTATTCATTATTTCTGATAGTACCAGAACTAATTAAAAGAGCAGGCAGGCAGCTTAAGGGTAACAAAGGATGCATTAATTTTACACAAATCATAATTAAACTGTGGAACTCAACACCTTCGAGTCAGCCAGGTTTGTGGAAGAAAGATGTGTAAAAGGCTATTAGACACAAGCTTTGGTTCAGCCATCTCCCAGCCTCCAGATTTGGGCAAGCAGGGAGCAGTACTGCTCTGGATGTGTTCCTTTAATGGTACTTTGTCCTTGCATATTCCCTCATGCTCAGGATGGGGTTCAGATATTTGGCTACATGCATTTTGGTTTAACTCCATGCAGCTATTGTTCTACTGTTATGCAAAAGGATATTTATTGACAATACATTTATGCAGATGGCCAGGGTCTCAAAATGCAACTAAATAAAAGCCATAGGACAAATTCCCATCTATTAGTCATCTAAATGTGTGAAGATACATAAATGTTAGCCTTTGTTTTGTGCCCACAATAAGGAAAAGGAGAATCTGGACAGTCAGGCTATAAATTTGGAAATGTTCAAGACTGGTATACCAGTTGGAATCAGAGTGGTGCCAGCATAAGGGAGGTGACTATGGATTTGATAAATTTTCCTCTGAAGGCAGTTTTATTATCCTTTCAGGCACCAAAAAAAATTACTATGTCCCCTTGTGAAGGAGATGATCTCCTGCGGGATGTGCAGTGATTTTGTATTTTGCTCTTTTGACTGGGGATCTCATAATGGTCTGGGAGGATGGCAATTATTCCCATCAGCCTGCAGATCAAGGCACCCAACTGATCAAGTGAAAACAAACAAAAGGAAGTTGCAATCAAAAGCTCTTGCTAATGATTTGTGTGGAATCTGCAATATGTATTAATATTTCCTACTTCCCCCCTTCCAGGCACGACTCAGTGGGAGCCCTTCTGTGACATTCCCCTGACTATCCCTGTTACAAAGGAAAGAGAATTTGAAATGGAGGAAAGATTATTTTTTAATCTGGGACTCTGCTTGCAGTGTGCTTGTGCAGAGATCTGACGCTCAAAGGCTACGTGTTGCTCTAACACACTCAGAAGGGGTTTATGGTTTGACAGAGCTGATCTCTGCACCTCGAGCTTTTGATTCACACATTTATAAAACTGCCTCTTAGATTCTTTTAATTAGTGGCAGGCTGCTCTTGGAAGAGAAAGGTAATGGTTACGCATGGGAGCTGGCAGGAGTCTTCCTAACTCATCGGGCCAGATGCAGCTCTGGAAGTTCAAAGGGAGCAGCAAATGCTCACCACCTCTGACAGCAGGGCCACTTCTGTTTAGGTACCCTTTAGACAGAAAAAAGTGACATTTGTGGATTTATGCTGTCTCTGTTTGCTTTTGCACATGCTCAGCAAGATCTGTGGATAGTGGTTTCCTACCCCTCATGGTACTCTGAGGTTTTGATAGCTGATGGAGGGACTTGAAGATTAAAACAGGGAGGGGGATCACAAAGCGTCCTATTTTGATAACAGCAAGGAAAGGATTTGGTGGCTCAGAAATACGCAGGGGTAATTTTGGCATCCCTGCCCTGACAGGCTGTTGAGATGATCATGACTCATGTTGTTAAGGCGATTTTAACGTTCAATGCCAGCTGATGAAAATCGAGTTAAAGGGAAATTAATTTTACATTCAGACTATAGTAAAGTTAACTCCAGAGAGGGATCACGAGAAAGAAGAACTTGCATGCCCTGATTTTCAGGAGGGAGTGGAAGAACTACAGTATTTTATCCACCCATCTCAAAGGAATCAATTTGTGGTACCTTCTGAGGAGCCTGATGAATATAAAACAAAGGACTAGAGAAGGACTGGCTACTGGGAACCTCAGCTGCCAGATGGGCAGCCCATTCCCCAGGCGGCCCAGCTCCATTTGTTTATTGTTATGGGGAAAATAGAGGAAAACACTTACAAAAGAACTAAGAAAACTCAGTCTCCAAGCATCAGGCATTAAATCTGACCAGTTGTTCTTTCATGCAAGCTCTTCATATATGTACAGAGGGAACCAGTTGCCTCTACTGAGCAAACAGAGACCACATGCTACCCTGGCCGGGAAACAGGCTGACTCAGGGGGACATGCTGCATCCTTGGAACATCTCAATAATGTTTACAAAGCTAAATCCATGCTGATTATCTACAATTACAGGGTTGGCTGCTGATGTGGGTCAGCTCTTCTCCTTTTGCCAGTACCTCTGTGGTGCTGATGAGCACGAGGGGCTGAGGCATCTGCAGATGCCTCAAAGTTCTGGTGGGACATTGAACTCACAGAGCAGCTGCAGCACCTTCAAGCTGCCCAAAAAGGCAGCTGGAAAAAGCTTGTGATTTCAATGCAGTTTTTGTCTTGACAGGAAGATTGGCAGCCACTGGCATTATTTCTTTCCATTGAGATTTCAGGCATCTTGATACTTCCATAAACAGTGCAGAAATGCTACAAAAAGTTGCCAATATCCATGTACTTCCTGGAGCGCAGGTCTTTACACACCTGAAGAAACAATTCTTACTGGTCCCATAGGAAAGTCCTTGGTCAAAATGGGGAAAAGAAGCTGTCATTGCTGGGGCAGCTAAGCCCAGCCCCACATCATTCCTCTATGCTGATTGCAGACTTGGAAACAGCAGCGGAATTTGCTGCATTCCTGGGTGATGCATGTGGGCTCTGTCCCTGAACACACAGCTGTAGCAAGTGGATATATAGATGTTATGCATGTGCATCTGGGCAGGATTCACCTTTTGATGCCACAGTGCATCCCTCAAGTCTCAGTACATGGCAGTGCATGTTTTACCAGTGGAGCTATCACGTTAGGAGCAGCTGTGGCAATAAGTGTTGTATCTGGAGAGGCATAATGGTTTTCAGTTGAACATCCTGGGACAGGGTTTAGGGGTTTGTTTGGTTTGCTTGTTCCTATTTGGGGTCTCCTCAGTTGAGAGATGAGGAGGGAATGTCCTTGTACAAACCACCCTGGGGGAGCCTCTGTGCTGCTGTAGTGAAGGCACCACATCATAATCATCCAAGAGCTCCCGCTGTTGCAATGCAATGTGCTCCATCCTGGGCTTCTCTATTGCAATCCCACATTTCCTGCACATGATCCCTCAGAAGAACAGCACTGAGATCTTGTGGCAGAGCACATGTGGATGGGAAATCACCTTGTGATGGAGCAATGCTCAAAGAGCCACTTCTGAGGAACTTCTTGACTTTCTATGATATCAGTGTCAAAAAAGGGTCAGCATACTATGGAGAATTGATTTATTTGATATTGTCAAGTCCCTTTAACCTTTTTGGCTAATATTTTCTATGCCAGGCCCCTCTGGGAGATTGATAGTTTTTGTACATATGGGGAAATTTGAGATAAAATAGTTCCATATGCAAAGAAAGGAAAGAAATATCTTTAGTCACTTATACTTGAGAAAAATAAGACATTTCTTTTTTTAGTTGTCTTCCCAACAAATCTCTTGGGAATAAAAGAATGAACTTTTCTATAGAATTGTCTCCATGCTATGCTGAATCCAGCTACTGCTTGCATGAGGTATGACTTTATCACACAGTGTGCATAAAATACACAGCTTAAAACACCCCATGCTTCAGAAACTGCTACAGGATATAGGAAAGCCTGAAGATCTGGGATCTATAGCCAGAGCAGTCATTTCATGAGCAGCTCGCTCCTGCAGAGCTCTGCCTGTGCAAGCAAGCCTCTTCTATGCCCTGCTCTGCTGTTCCCAATGCTGCTTTTATCTTTTGAAAGCATTAACTACATAGTTTCTGGGGCTGCAGGTCTAGATGCCCACATCACCAGGGTTTTTCTGTTTTAACCTTCTCTTTCTTTCAATCCCAAAGGATGAGCTGGCATCAGAAGAATTTAAATGAAGAGAGGCAGCAGCAAGAAGCAGAAATTGCCGAAGCTAATCCAGCGTACCACTGTCATTTCTACTCACAGGCCTACGAGAACAGAAAAAGGGAGCAGCATCAAGCTAGGAGGAAGCTCTGTGTAGCATCAGTAATTTGCATCTTCTTCATGATTGCTGAGATTACAGGGGAGTATGTTTGTCCAAAGAGAGCTCAGTTTGGTGCCCAGCAGAGCTATATTCATGCCCTTTCATATGCACTCTGGCTGCAGGGACCCCTGGTGCACACAGATCAGCCTATCTGGGCTAAAACAACTCTTTTCTCCTCAGTTAAAAAAAAAAAAATGTTTGTTTTTTTTTCTTAATGTGAAATTATCAAAACATTTTCATATATTCATTTCATGATTGCATCTGTGTAGGAATACAAAGATCACTTAATGGTCTGAACTGTTCTCCCAGGTCTTCAAGCTGAGTTAAAAGTGGCTCGCATGTCTTAGAATTGTGTCAGAAAAGGTTTCTCATAAATTAAGCTATATTTTTTTGGTAGAGATTAAGAGATTTCTCATATTTATCCAGGCCAGTGAGACCTCAGCACTGATGAAGGTTGCTAGCAGCAGGGTCTGATACTAAATGCAACAGTCTTTGCAAAATCCATGGAAATTCAGGGCCAGATTCACCATCTGTTTTGCTTCAGTTAAGTCAATGTGTTTATACCAGGGCATGTTTGTCTTTTGAATTGGCCTGCTGGTGTGTCTCTGGATCAATGGAAGATTATTCCCCTGTCTAATTAGCTTTCACTTCTGGACCCATCCTACAATATCCAATTCAAGTATTTGGCTTATTCATAGAGCATTAGCTTTCATTTTGTCCCACCAATGTGCTTCCTGCATGGCTTCTGTGGTACTTATACCCACCTGATAGCTCCTGGCTCTTTAATTTCCCCTTCTCTTCAGTGAGGTGAGGAAGGGTAAGGCATAAGGAATCCCACACACTTTTGCCACTCCTGCCCCTGGGGATGTAGCAAAAATCAGGAAGGCAGGCCTCTGAAACCCGTGTTTTCACAGCTTCAACAGCTCTGGAAGCCCCATGAAAATAAAATAGGAAGGCTTTCTCTTCCCCACAGGCAAGAAGTGAGACTCTGAGAGAGCCATTGCATTTCTTTCTCCTCCCCTGGCTGTCAAACCCATCAGGGGCTTCTCCCACTCTTCTCTCCCAGGCACTTCCTCTTCATGAAGCCCTGTTGTTTGTAGGTCATCTGCATTTCCCCCACGAAAACTGGTGCATACCATTAATATCCATGCAGTCATTTCCAGTGCTAGAAGTGGTGCATTATTAACAAAACCATATAATCATTAGGCTTAAGTTTGGTGAATGCAGCAATGCTAGAGGATAATTGGAAGGACAGATGATACGTTAACTAAATGTTTCATTTTGCTTAATGAATCATACAGCTTTTTTGCAGTGACAGTTTAAGTAACAGGCTTGAAGACCATTTTGCTTCAGACCATTAAACTTTGACAAACCAGTTATTAACTGCCGTTACAGACAGCAGTCTATGGAGATTTTTGTCATTATGAGCCATATATTTAATTTTTGTAATTGTTAGGCTGGACTGGCTCTGCCTGATGATTGACCATTGAGTGACTGACAATTTCTGCTGCTTTGTGGTATACAAAGCTATAAACATCCACTGTAGGCAACAGTAAGCCATAAAGGCCACTTGTTGGGATCATTGATACACAACAATAAAAGCCTGTAACTGTTAGACAGCCTTTACTCTCGAAAATGAAGAATATGTTCCCCTTTCTGCTCCTCTTAAGGGCAAACAGCTTCTGTGGGCTTTATTATGCTAAACAGAAGAAACAAAGCTGCATCACTCCCAAAGAGGTTGAACAGTTGTGCTTCCTTGAAACCCTAGATCTTTCCATGATGTTTTTTCTCAAACCATCTGTGCTGGTCCTCACTGCTCTCCCAAAAGAGGCACTGTTGGCTGAGCCTGAAACACCAACTGTTGCCGAAAGACTATTATCTTCTGTTTTTCTAATGCAGATCCATCACAGTCTCCGTAGATCTGGAAATACTAGTCAAACTGATTACACCCTATGTACAGCCCTGACATGAAAGTGCTTTCCAAGGATTTTTAGTGGCTAAGGACTAAATGTGGATTTCAAAGTAGTTTATTTCCATGGACTCTAGAAAGAGAGACAAACCCTACATATGTCCTCATATCTAAAAGGAATATAAAGACTTGACCACGTTGCTAAGATAAGCAGACCAAGATCTCAGAAGCTCACCCAAAGCATTAATTAAGCCAGCAATACATAAAACAATAATTGCATAACGTTTTTGAAAGATGGCAGGCTGGAAGCAAGCTTTTGTAATGCTGTCCCACAGAACACGGAAATACAGTGTTGAAAACGCAATAGGGTTTTGCAGGCAGCTTGTGCTCTACATATTTGTTTGCTCAAAGATAGCTGATGCCTTGGTTGTTAACATCTGTGTGCTGTCAGATAAGCCTGCTTCCTTCTGCTATGCAAAATTGCTTCCCACTTGAGAAACAGCTACCCTGTAAACAGTGAAAGCCAAAGAGCTGTGCTGTGGGCAAAAAATACACGTGCATTTACATCTGCATGCTCTGGGAAATCCCTATTCTGTTGAATTTTTAATTTCACTGCAAGAAATGAGATGCCCCCAGATTCCACAGTCTTGCTTGCCCCCTTTTAGAAAGTAACTTTCAGCTGTAAATGGGATGGATATTGAGGCAGCAGAGAAAAATAATATATGTCCTGTATGTGCAATATACATTCTCCTGTGGTGACAAATCGTAGTGTTAGGTATTCTAATCTAAAATCTGTATGTGGGAGGAAATTAAACAGATAGTCCATCCTGCTGGCATGAAGACTTTCAATCTATAAGGAAATGAGAGATGTCTACATGTCCCTCTGGCAGAAGTATCTTGCTAATGGTTTGAATGAGGCATTTTATGATGTTTTTCAGGATTCATTGATTCTCATATGGGTTGTAGTCAGGAGAAACAGGTGAACTGAAATTAATTAAATGGCTGAAGTATGGAAATATATTGCCAAAAGCAGAAACCCAATGTTTTGGCTCTAATATTTTACATTTCCCTTTTTCTACATTGCTACTCTGATGAAAAGATTCCCCTCCTATAACAAGCTCACAGGACAGCTTCCTGCCTGTGATTCTTGTCATGTCCTGCAGCCATCAGCAGCTGAAGTAATTTAGAGCAATCTTTTAGTTCCTTTGGATTTGCTTTTAGCTCTGAACATGGTTAGAAAAGTTTGGCAAAATAACGCTATTTGGCTTACTGGGTAAAAGAAATGTGGTTTCAGACTGAAATGTTGATTTTTTTGTATTTTTCACAGAATTCACATGAAACCAAAACCCCCCCAAAGTAAAATTAAATTCAGCCACATTTTTTGAGCTCCAGAAGGAAAATTAAATCATGCATTACAGATGCAAAATGATAGATTAGTCCTATGAGCAGAACATTTTTCTCTATGCCTTCACCAAAATGGCTGGTTGTTTATCACAGCTTTCTACTGGGGCCTTTCCTTTTATTCCAGTTTTAGTGTTGCCTGTGACAAATAAACAGTTGGGCATCCATCCATACAAAACTCAGGAAGAACACGCATATTTTCCTATGACAAATAGGAAATTACTCCCATAAGCTAAGTCTGAGTTTCTGTACATAAATAAAAATATCAGTAATCTGTGAAAAGATAGTGGGAGGATACTGGAAATGTGATCACTAATACTTTCCTGAAGAAATCGGATATGAAAGTAGACACATTAAAACTGTCCAATAGTAACATCACTATTCTTATTGTCCTTCTCTGACAAAGAAGTTTAGTTTATTTCTTCCTGTTACTTCATACCTTTCACCACATGAGCAAGGTATGAAATGAAACTACCATTGAAGAGTTTTGAGTCATGCATTGAAAATGGAATGTTCCCTTTGATTCACAGCAAAGCAGGTCTCGAGTTTGATCTGATCAACTCAAATGTCTGACCAGAGCCATGATACAGATGTGTATTTCACAGGTGGGCACATTGCTGGGAGCCTGGCTGTGATCACCGATGCGGCACACATCCTGGTGGACCTGACAAGCTTCCTCATCAGCCTCTTCTCACTGTGGCTTGCCTCCAAACCTCCCACCAAACAGCTGACTTTCGGGTGGCACCGAGCAGGTAGAAAATATGTCGCAGTATGAACATGTGGAATGGGAAAGGGAAGTCATCATAGCCAAGGACTGGAAAATGTACTGATGTCCCACAGCTCTGCAGATAGAGATAGTGTACTACTGCTCTCAAAGACTCCAGGACACATGGCAAACAGACCAAGCTAGTAAGCTTCAAAGAAGTGAAGGGCACAGTCATGTCTTACCTACAAACATATATTTCAGTTAATTTATGTAGTTTTGGGGTGGTGCTAGCTTTGTCTGAGATAACAGCAACTTCCCTCAGTGACTTGAGTGTGAGGAGGGCTAAGTCCTCAACCTACTATGAAACACAAGTTTCTATAAAAGTAGTAATACCCATTAACATAAGGGTCTACTCCATTTATAGAACAATTTATCATTATTATTACTATTATTATTGTTATTATTATGTTATCCTTTAGACAATAATATTCTACTTGTAGAAAAGTGCTATCCTTTAACATTTACCAATTCTCAAATGGCTCTAGACACCTATGCACCTGAACTGAGGACTCAGATGATAAATGCTTCAAAGCTGTACACTATGAAGGTCCGGAAGCAGCCTCTGATGCAAGATGCCTGTAGGCCAAGGTTGTTTGTAGCTGCAGAATGTACCAGGGAACACATATGCCATAAGAATCATGTCTTTATATTCCTACATAAGTATATTCTACCAACTTTGCTGGAAACAAGCTGCTGGGTGAAGCAGGGGCTTAATATGACTGAAGCACAGCTAGCATTATATAGACAGCACACAGCTGAATTTTTCAGCCTTAGTAAACTCCTACTTGCCATCAGCTGACCTAGAACTACTTTTTGTGTTTATGTTCTCTTAGCCTGAGAAGAAAGGAAAACTTCTCTCTTGCTGACATGCATGAGGTTCATGATGTTCATGAAGCTACCTGAGGTTCAGCCACCTCATGCAGCTTCATCCTCAGTCTGTGTTAGATTTTTTGAGGTTTTGTTGTTGCAATGCAGAACTTCAGTCCCAAACTTTTATTGTCTTTTTATCCTGGTAGCAAAGAGAGCCTTGCATCAAATGTTAGTGGCTAGGTAATTGCATTCCATGATAGTTATCCTGTTTCTTGTTTATTTTCCCCTCTATATTTCCAGTTGAATATGTAGGTGCGTACCTTAATAGAGTAGCAGAGGGCAGTCAGGGGGCTGGCAAAGTCACTGTGCGATGACTACCAAGGCTTTGCAGCTGCAGCCCACCGTGACACTGGGAGCTGTTTTTTTACTTCTTTTCTCAGACTGATAGATAGGGTTTGTCAAGCAAAGAGTGTGTATGACAGGGCTCAGGTTTAGCAGAAACCACCTGAATGCCTCCTATGCTCTAAGCCAGAGCCAGGCAGCAGAAACAGTCAAGTGGTTAAAATTCAATAAAACCCTTTGGGTGTGCACATACTTTCAGAAACGTGGCTGGAAGCACAATATTGAATAAGACTGATAGTGTGAGCCAGACCTACCTCCAGGTAGGAAAGCTCTCTTCAAGCTCAATTTCTTTATTTCTGGCATGATTCAGAGATTCCCAAACAATCCCGCACTATTGTTTGCTCTGCTCTGTCAGTGTCAGTAGTGCTGAAGAAATGTAACAGAGAACATCATGAGTAAAGCAATTAGTACTACTGAACTGGTTTGTAAGCTTAACTAAACATTTGCTAATACACTACATTGAAAAGTATTTTTACCTATGTAATACTGATGACCTCTAACACATTCAGTTGTGGAGTATATGCATGTATGCACACAGGTTCACTCGGGTGTTCCCAAAAGCTGTTGAGTCCTTTCATGCCAATGATAGGATAACAATCAACACCTTCAGCTGGGCCAAATTTGCAGGGTTTTAACCTGTAACTTGCAGAAAATATAAATACCAGCTGTGCTTTATGTTAGCCTTCCTTTAAGCAAGACTAGATTGTCCTAAGAGTGTGCTTTCATTTGTTGTCAATTTTAAACAAAATAGTTATTTTGATAAGCGTTTGAAGCCTGGCCTGCTGCAAAAGGTGTGTCCCTCATAAAAATATATTCAAAGCCATAAGATGAGTTTCAGCTGCTTTCATGGACTGTGCCAGTGCAAGTTTGTGCAAGTGTTCTGCTCTTTATGGCTATCTACTGCATTTCACTTTACTGTGAGCTTTCATTTACCTAAGTATTGTCTCAGCTGCGCTCATAAAGTGACACATTTACCCATTCAAGTCACATGGCAATTACTAGTCCCACATTCTATTAAAAACGTGCTGCCCATCCATATGAGCATCCTTGGACCTCTCCTCTGGCAGTTCAATAAGAGGTGGCCTTGGGGACTGGATTTATTTGAGCCCAACTCAGAGCCAGTAGAGACAAAATTAAATTTCACTGCCCCAGGGAAAAGAAATAAATTCTTTGTCCTTTCATGCTGGTGGCACAAGAATGATTTTTTGCCATTGGCAGGATGAGTCCCAGGAGAGAGGAAGAAGAGGTTTTGCTGGCAGGACCTCACTGGGGGCTGTCACTGGCTTTCTGAGGTGTGAAGTGACAAGAGGTGTGCAGAAACAAGGGAGGCAATTGGAAAGGGCTCATGTCTGACCGCGCATTTGAGGGAGCCAAGCCTCTCTGTTTCCCTCCAACCTCTTCCCCCATGACCAAGACAATCTTGTTTGAGAAGGAGGGCTGGCTCTTGGGGTCTTCACACCAAACCAGCAGGGCCAGGCAACTACATCAGATGTAAAAGAATTGCTCTTTTATCTTTCCTTCCTATTACAGCTTCTTTTGCTGTATCCCCAAACTCCACAAATGATCTTTTTCATCTCTTCTATTTCTCCAAATGCCACATGAAATCAACACTGGAAAGAGGACAAAAGTAAGAGCAGATAGAACAGGGTTAGGCCATCACAGGCATAGGGCTACCTTTGGCAGCCACTGGATTTCCTATGAGCAGAAAGGGTTTTGGCCCCTTCCTTGTGAGCATCAGGGCTGCAAATATAGAAGAAGTGACTCTCCTGGCTATAAAACTCACAAACTTGGAGCCATTACTATCAGACTTTTATCATTTTTTGCATTTCTGTTATGATTCCTGCTAATATCAGATTGTTTTAATTCCTAGAAATTCTGGGAGCTTTGCTGTCTATGATAATCATTTGGATGGTGACTGGTGTGTTGATATATTTGGCTAGCTTGAGGCTGCTACACCCTGATTACAATATTGATGCTACAGTGATGCTCATTACCTCTGCTTGTGCTGTGATCGCCAACATAATGTAAGTTACCTTTCCTCTCCAGTATAACTTTTGAACTTTGAACCTGCTGCTGCATTTCAATCAAAAACAACAGAGAGATATTAATCTCAAAAATATTAAGTGTTTAGGAGCTTCATGAAGATATGGAAAAGGGTAGAGAAGAGACATCTTGCTTCTCATTGAAGGATGAAGTTGCTCTCTTCCTTCCTGTTAGCTGAGACACTGGGAAGGGAGATTATGAATGCACAAACTCCAGGAAAAGATTAATCTCCACCTCACTTTTTACTAGATGCCAGAGCATTCAAGAAATTTATAGAAAATGAGGCCTCATTAATTACCCCATTCACAGACTTTGTGGTTTGCATGCAAAGCACTGAAACACCTAGGAATTATCTGCTTAGCCATTCTGCATTTTTACTTAATGTGTCTGATTTTGCTGTTCAGCAATCAGAAGTGAGAGGGGTGATGATGTGTGTGACATGGCTGCTTTCAGAGGTGCTGTAACCCCACTGATATTTGCAGCTTTACATCTCTTGCAGACTAAGCCTGATTCTGCACCAGACTGGACACGGGCACAGCCATGGGGCACAAGCCAGGGAACATGTGTCAGCCCCTCTGGAAAAGCCAGCTCTGAGCAATGCCAGCCTGAGGGCAGCCTTTGTGCATGCCATTGGAGATCTGTTCCAGAGTCTTAGTGTGCTAATCAGTGCACTTATCATCTTCTTTAAGGTTAGTGTTATTGGTTCACTTGCCTTCTTTGCTATTAAGGATAACAGCTATATTTATAGAATTGTTACGCGGGGTACTATGGAAATGTTTTCTCTGTCTTATTGATATACATCGTAATTTAGTCAAAGACAACTACACTTATTCTTGGTAATTGAAATGGCTGCTGAGAGTAAAACAGTTGCTTCTTGATGTTTCAACTGCACAGAGAATACTTTGGAGTCTCTCCATTTCTTCATCTGTAGTGCCTTCATTCTCTGTGCTGAGGCTCCCTAATTGGCAAAGGATGTCAACACTCATTCTGGACTAGATGAATGGAATGTATTATTCTTTGAGATTAACTAATTTAAAATGGCAATAACCAACAGTAATGTAATTAACAAAATGATGTGTTCGTATTTTTCTAGCCAGAATACAAAATAGCTGATCCAATCTGCACATTTGTGTTTTCCATCTTTGTTTTGGCAACGACCATCACCATTTTAAGGGATATTTTGATTGTGTTAATGGAAGGTAGGACCTCATTCCAGAATCAATGCAGTTACATTTTGAGGTTTTTTTTTCTCTCTCTTTCTATGTAATGCTTATACTCCCTGACAAAAGCATAACAGCACACTTCTGTATCAGTTTCCAATATTCTTGTAATTCTGATCGTACTTTGAACCTAATTACAATTTTAATCAAAACTGTTTTCTACAATTACACTAGAAGTTTTATGCATATGGCAGTTTTCATGACAACTTATGTACTGGTGTTCTGTTAACGAACTCCCAATGTGTTCCTAAAGCTGAGTTGGTTTTGTTTGTTATATGTGTGACATTGCATTTTACCACCTCTCATATCTTTTGGAATATGAGAGGTCTACTCTCTTTGTTCATTGTGTAATTCCTTTACCCAGGTTGTGCTTTTAACTGTGCCTGTGAAATAGGCTGAGTGCAAGATGCAGAAGTTTAAAAGATTTTTAGTTATGCATTCCAGAAAAGCAGGCCAATGGAGCTTTCCAGTCATGTACAGGTATACGGAAGTAGACAATCCTCAGCACATCACAGCAAGAACTATGCTGAGCAATATTGAATTCTATCAGATATGGGCCTAATCACTTGGTTTGCAAGGCTAAATGACTTGAGCAGCCATAGATGCATGTTTTTACTTTCCTTACAGTGAATAACATAATGTAACCTCTTTCTCAGCTAGGAAGACATAAGAATTAAAGGGAAAAGTAATTGTAATAGAGTAGGTTTAGAATGGATGTGAGTTACTCAGTGACTGTCTGCCTGTTTTTTTACTTCTCTCTTTCACTTTGTATCTACTTTTGTTTCAAGACAGAAAATTTCCAATATTGTTTTTTTATTCTAGGTTTGGCTTGCTTTCAGTGATTGTGAGATAGAGATATATTTATATATATATGTGTGTGTGTATATATATATATATATATATAGCTGTGTACTTAGAGTGCAGCAACTGTCAGCATCTTGTCTGCCAAAACAATCAGAAGATCCCTTGATTACTGCAAATAAACACCAAAGCTCCACTGACACTCAGGGGTCTCTTTCTCAGGGCACTGATTCCCAGAAGTGCTTTTGTTCCAAGACTGGCAATGCTTAGTTCCCCTCTGCAGCAAGCCCTTACAAGCTGTGCTTCTGAGGAGGTCCCTGAAGCCAGTCTCCTGCCTCCTACAGAGCATATTGTGCCCAGAATTTTCTAAAGATAAATTGGATGCTGGAGTTGGTATTGAAGGTGGCCCGTACTGCAGACATCCAGTCTGTCCTGGGGTGTCAGCCACACAGCCCCTGCAACTGACTGTGTTATGCGGGCACTGACTGCCTGTGGTTTTCTCCAAAAAGCATGTAGCATGTTCCTGTCAGCATCAAATTCTTCTAAATCAATACTCCACATAGCATATCATTGTTGTCATAAATTGGTAGGACAAAGCATAAAACACTGAAGTCATTAACAGTTACAAATAATTTTCATTTATGGCATGACAAAGTTAGAGCAATATTGTGCTTGTCATTATTACATTTCATAACTGTTGGCATTAAAAACATCTTTCAATTTGCTGATGCAAGTGAAACGTGAGTGATGAGCATAACTGTTCATGAGGGCATAGAGGTGCATTTCCCCACTGCCAGCTCGTACTCCAGGGAAGATCTGTAGTTAAATTCCTTGGTCAAATTTGGATTTAGATTAAATTCTGACTCTCATGTTGCAGCTCACCCTGTCACAATTGTCCTCACTTTGAATGAGGGCCATCACCATCATCCTCTTTTGTAAGAAGGCTGATCTAGGAAAATCACTGATCTACTGAATAACTAGACCTGGGATCTAAACTCATCTAAGATTCCCCAGTCAAATCATTTTAATCTTTATGTTTGTCTTTCCCTCTCTGCTAAGCAGATGCTTTTCTATTGTATAAATGTATTGAGGGTAGAATCCCTGAGACATGTTAAGGTGATGCCATAAAATCTGCACTCACAAAAGATGTTGGTGAAAAACTAAGACAGTATCAGGCTAAACAGCTTACTTCCCTATGTAAACTGAGCCCTCAGAGTATCATCTCCTAAGACATGCATGAGTCTCAATCTTCCATGGGGAAGTATATAACAAGAGATATGATTAAATTTCACAGTGAACTCTGAAATGAAAAAGTGCTGAATATTTTTATTAAAATTATACATCTAAGTAACTAAAGGTTCATGATGCACTTTAGTCTAATGATCATTATTCTTATCTCTCACTTATTTTTTTTTTTCCCCACCAATTTCTCCTTTAAGGAACATCAAAAGGATTTGCTTATGATGAAGTGAAGGCAAGAATTTTAGCAGTTGAGAAAGTGGAATCTGTTCACAACCTTCATCTTTGGTCTTTGACAATGAATCAAACTATTTTATCTGCTCATGTCGCCACAGGTCAGTAAATTTCTCTGAATAGGGAGTAAGTATTCAGCTGCTGCCTAGTAAAGGTCAGCCTCTCCTGACTGGGATACAACTGACTCTATCACTGTTGCTTTTTAAAACAAATGTCATCATTTTGTTGGCAAAATAACAACAACACCAACAACAAAAGCTCTCAAATCCTTCTCACAGAAATCTTGCCAAAACAACAGGGGCAGCTACTTAGCCCAGAACCTGAAAACTGCAGAGACTGTGGAGCAACGAAGCAAGCTACAAGATATTTTAAATAAATAAGAACTAGACCCAGGCTGATTTTTTTTCATGATATCAAGCAGGGTTTGGAGTGCATTTGTTGAACTTGAAAACTGTTGATCCCTGTAAGAAGAATTTACAGGGCAAATCTGCATTCCTGATTCATCTCTAACTGTAAAACAATCTTTAAACATAGCTTGGAGTGTAGCTGTAACTCCAGGGGAACAGCTAGTCTTTAAATGCATTTTTTTAAATGTAGACCTTGTCCCTGCTGACAAACTCCCCAATATCTGTATCAATTTTCTTATTTATCTGTTTGCTTGCACATGGTATGTTTTATTTAAGAAAAAAATTCCACCCTGTTTGGCCAAAAATGGGGTCAGAAATTAAATCCTTTATGGAGTTTCCACTCCCACAAAAGACTGGGTCTATCAGCCACTTGTATCTGTGTGTATCACTTGGCACTGTTGTTACTCCCTGACTGGATGAACTAATCTTTATTAAGTAGTCCTGCTTTCCTCCAGCTTTCTGCCAAACTGATTGTTTTTGGTGATTACTCTTAGCTCAGCTCTTGCCAAAATTGCATGTTCTGACCATATTTGAATGAGCAAACTTCTGCTGATGTGCAGGTTCCTGAAAGGAGGATAAAAAGGACAAGAAACAAACTTATTAGGAGTTTGCTTATAGTTTCTGTCAGTAAACGCTTACTCTTCTTTAAAGTATTATATTATATGCATTTTGATTATTTTCTCCTTGCTATCTGTAGCAGACACAGAGGACAGCCAGGAGATTTTGAGAGATATTACCCAAGCACTGTTTGAGCACTACAACTTCCACTCCATTACCATTCAGATTGAATCGGGAGAGGATCAGAAACATGACTGCATCTTCTGCCAAGAGCCCAGGGATTAAAGGGAGCAGTATGCTATGCATCCCTCTTACAGGTCAGTGGAGACTATATGTGCTGGTTGTACATAATTGATTAACAACAAATGGTAATTAACTGAACTAAAAAGCCTTGCTGCTGCTAACAGTGGATGGACCTTTATTTGTTGACACCACCTAGCAGCAGAGAACATGTATTAGGTCCATCCATCAGCTAATTTACCTGTCCATCAGGGGTTACTTTCAATTACAAGAGAAAGTATCTAAATTATTCTTGACTAGAGCAGCAGATTGGCACAAAAGCAACATCAAGTGTGCCTGTTTGTAATCACAGGCAACAAAAAACTAATCAACCTTCAAATTACCAGCAGACCAATTAGCACAAAATGTAATGAAACGTAAGTTTGGTGTCACCAAAGATCAATGCTTACTCAGGATAAAAGAAAATTTAAATTAGCAGGAGGGATGAAAAGGTCTGGGAAAGAAAAAGATGGTGGCATGTGCTTTCCCTGCCTTTTGGCAGACACCCCTTCTCCTGCATACTAAGGTGAGTATCAGATGTGCACCATACTCTGCAGTGTAGATCACAAAAGAATTCCCTCCATTCTCATTTGGCAAATATTGCTCTTATTGGCAAATAAATTATTGGCAAGTAAAAACTCTTTAGTTTTTAGCTACCGCTATCTATTTTACAGCTACCATCAGCCAGCCATGGGCAGCATTCTCTACTATCAAGACAAGGGTTGGAACTGGATGATCGTAAGGGGCTTTCTAACCCAAACCTTTCTATGATTCTGTGATTCTATGATTTTGGGTTGTTTGTGTCACAAGGTACCTCTGGGTCATGACAATAAAATAAAGCAGAAAAAAAAGAAAAAATAATTAGGACAAGGAAAGACTGGGGGCAATTGTGAATATCATGTCTAGTGTCCTCCATAGCATGGCGTGTGGGGTGTCAGTAATGCTACATCCCTGAAGCTATATCAGACAATTAAAAAATCCTTTGGTGTATCACACAGCTATCCACTGTATCATGTTCCTTCAGGCAGCTGATACCCACATTTCCTAACAGGACGTGTTAAGTCTTTCTCTTCAGCATACCTGGTAATGGTTACTGGGGAACTGTGAGCAAAGAGTCAGATCTTCCTGCAGTGTTTCTATTTGTGTTCAACCACCTGAATTAAACTCTTACCTGTTAGCAAAAACAAGGGTTGCACTACAAAATGCATGCTCAAGTGGTTGTTCACAAAACAGCTTCACTTCTGCCCTTGACTATAACAGCACAGCTTCACTTTCCATGCAGAACTACAGGTAATATTTTCCTACTCCACAATCCTCACTGCTACAGCTGAAGGGCTCATATTAAGTAGCAAGTTTGTTAGAACAGAATAAAGTGTGTGGTACTGAGTGGTACTGAGTTTCTAGGCTGACAGCTGGAAAAAGCATTGCATTATTAAGCTATAAAAAGGCCTTGCTTTTGAGGGAATTCAGTTTTATTTGCAATAGGTTCACATTGGTTTTCTACTTTATCATCCTAAAGAGATTAGGATTTATTATTAGGGCTTTTGGTTATGGATAATAAGTAACTATGTGATGATAGATTGATGTATTAAGCAGGCATTTGTTACCTGGTAGGGAAACAGAAATTATTCTGCTTTGTGGAAGCATCCCAGAAGATTGTAGTCAGATAAACCTCCCGCTGAAATCAGATAAAGGTATTAAAACACAACACCCGCTAAGAATTTCATGAGTATCTCATTATTTACTGTCTTGAAAGAGCTGAGACCGTAGCAGTGGTATTCGGTACAGTGATAGAGACAGTTCTTGCCCTTTACAACTGAAACACAAGATGGTAAGACACAGATAAATCAAAGCACAGCAAGAAACATTAAATGAAGAAATTAACTTGCATTTTGGGCAGTTTCTCTGATGGTATATTTTAGCATAGTTGCCTCCTACCAAAGGCAAATCAGCTGTGCTTGTTAAGTAACCTGAGCATTCTTTTCTCTGGTTGGGGAGGATAAGTTAAAAGTGTTGCCTTTGTATGGAATAAAAAAGTATTTCAAAATGTTTTGAATAAGATGAGGGCACAGCATCAGATGTAATAGGGAATTCTGGGGAACAGACTTATGGTCAAGGACAATGTAAAAATACTGATTAGGTGACAGAAGCATCCATATAGGACCCAGATTCTGATCTGAGATTTAGGCTGAGGTGGAGGTAAAGACCAGGAGTTTAAGAGCAAGTCTTCATTTCTGAAAAAAGATTAAACAGACAAATGACATGGTCTACCAAGAAAGCTGTGCTGAGCAGCAGAGCTGAGGAAAAGCTGGGTGGAAGCAATACAAGGGGGGCTGGAAGAAGATTCATAAGCCAGGACAAGAGGACAAGGACTGATGAAGCTGTTGTCCAAATGAATCGGAAGGATGTGGAAGTCTTTCATTATGTTTTTGGAAAAAGGAGCATTGAAATATAAAGGTGGGAGGAAAGAAGGAGTTAATCCAAAATAAGGGTCCTTAATTACAGGGGGTGGGGGAACATTGTAAAATAGAAGGTTTAAGAAGAATAGGGGGTAGCAGCTGCCATCCTCAGTAATCCCAGTGGTCTACCAGACCCTCAGAATGGTAGCCTGTGTATACAAGTAGTAAAGGGCAAGGCAGAAATGAGGAGGGGAGAAGTTTGTGTTTGTTAGCAGCAGTAGACCTTGTATTTCAGGCAAAAGAATTCAACCATGTATTTTTAGTAAAAACTAGACAGTGCAATTGCCTTTACTTTCTGATGTGGAATTTGCTCTAGCAGACTACTGTAGCAAAAGTAATGCAATGGCTTATGAAAACCTAAGGGAATTTTACCTAAATACTAGGACAGACTGAAGATGAATTTAGAGCAAATATTTACCTGTAGTTATGAATACTGCTACAAGAAGCTGAATCTTTAATGCTCCCACTGTGTATCTGAATGTAAAATGCAGATTTGCTTTTCATCCCCATTTAGTTTGATCCTCAGGGATTTTATCTTGGTACAAGGTTGCAGAATACTGTCTGACTGGCTGGGAAGGATTTCTGCAGAAATGCTTCTGCCATACACAGAGGTCAGGGCTGAGAAGTTCAGAGACAATTTCTAGACTTCTCTGCTTTTATTAACTTTACATCCTTTAGATTGTCTGCAGAATAACTATAAGAAAATTGGCAAAATCTGCTACCTCTAAATCATTCTTGGAACTAGTGTGAAACAGAAGAGTATTTGTTATGCAAGTGGTCTGTTTTCCATGTCTGACTGGGTTTTTTGGTGAAGTTCTGTTCACATGGGCAAGTACATGGCTTTATTGACTAGCACTGAAATTTTAGGTACATATATATAATATTTTTCCTCTGATTTTGAAGTAGTCATTTTGCAGCTTGTAAATTATATAGTTCTTCTTTCCCTCTGAAAGCACTTTCTCACTTGCAACAACCAAAATCTAACACGCTGAGGAGAGCCTGAGGATATGGACTTTGTAGAAGCTCAAGATTTTTTGGAGCAGAAACCATGAAATGGGCAAATGCAAAGCTAAACTTTCCTATCCAGGACTGACAAAGGGCTGAAGTGCCAATATTATCCTGAGATCATCAGGTAGCCTGGAAAAGGATGGAAGAAGTATTTATAATTATTCATTATAATTATTTATAATTATTCAAACTGGAAACAGTTAAGGCACAAATCTGTCATTAGCATCAATGGAAGAGTCCCTTTCTGTAACTATAGCTGTAGACTTTGTTCTGCATTATCCTGTCTGAAATATGATGTGAACTTACAAGAACTGGATATGCAATTGAGGATTATATTGCCTACTTAATATGAGACATCACAGGAGTAATTCATCATCTCCACAGGAAGGCCAAACAAGATGTCCCAGTGTTGCCGATGGCAGCAAATGGTGACCTAAACAACGAGTACTGTGTAGGTCTGCAGTATCACTCTTAACAATGTCAAGAGGTTATATCAAACAATTCTGGCTCTGTTGTAAAAGCTAGCATGTTCCAACATGTTTTCCTCAGTGCCTTCCTCTCAGCTATAGCAGATGTACCCCTTCCTTTTTCATCCCCTTTGACTGCTGCACCCCTCTATCTCTGCTCTTCTGTTTTTCCCCATTTGTCTTTTATCAGCAATGCCTCAAACGGCTGCCTATTCAAATTTCAATGCCAGCATGAAATCTCTTACATATTCTTTCTGCTTACAGCCCTTCCCACTCCCCTTCAACCTGTGTGGTTAGATAAAAGCTCCTCAGAAATAAACTGCCTTTTGCTCTGTGTTTGTTGAAAACATGATACAATGAACCATCTTTTTTTTCATTTGAATCTATTGTGAGCACAATAATAACAGGGACTTAAAGTCAAAGAGCAACATCACATATTGTCCCATGTCAAACACCACTGTATATTTACTTTGTATTAAAGTTATTTAGAACTTTCACAGCCAAAAAATTATCTGAGCTGGCTCCAGCTTAAGGTACTCTTTCATGTTCTCAAGCCTGCTGATAATCTCTTTCAGCTAAGAAAAGTAAAATCCTTTCCCACCTGAGTACACACAGTTGAAGCAAGAAAGAATTAGAGACATCCAGTTGCTTAGCTGCCTCCTTTGACTTCTCTCTGCTCAGACTTCCTGTCTTCTAGCAAGAATACACTGCTGCAGGGGAAGCTTTGGAGCAGCCCATTGAGAACAGTGGCTGGAATGGAAGCACAGCAGAGAGTTGTTTCACGTGGTTACTAGTGCACATTCAGAATTCTCTATCCCAGGTGCTACGATGCTAAGAAACTTTCTGCTTTTCACTGCAGTCTTGGAATTAAAACAAGCAAACCAACCAATAAACAATGAAAATAAATGAATGAACAGTAGAATGTTGTGAAACATTCCTGGTGGCATCAGAGGCCCCACTGCTTGCACTCTTCCCTAGCAGCAGGGCTTTGTAGCTTTGTCTCCCAGACTGCACTGCACTGCACTCTGTCTCCTTACCACACACCATAGAAGCTGCCACAGCATGCAATGAAAGGTGTTCTGCTGTGACACATGCCATATGACTCCTTGCATGATGTAGCTATGAGCTTCTCAGCTATTCGGACTCCTCCTGAATTGCATGGACGGAAGAATCACTCAGGCTTTGGTGAAGCACCGACTCCTTTTTACCTGCTGGGTAGTTATAATCTACTAATTTTTCTCTTGGAGACTTAAGCTGACTGGAACAGTTCATATACCTTCTGTCTAAATGAGAAAGAGCAGGAACTCATTGATCATGGCCCAACCTGCTAATCCACAAAGAGGCACAAGGCACTCTGGGCTAGATCCTGGTGTCTAGGCAGTAATTCCAAGTTCAAAACACTTGGAATCGGTGTGCTTCCCAGCAGCAGTGTGCAACCCAGATCTTAAAACTCTGCCTTCTGCCCTGCTTTCTGCTTTGCTGACAGGCAAGTATTAGCAGTGCTTTGAAGGTTGTTCTGTGCTTTGAAGGATGTGGTGTGCTTTGAAGGAGCAGAAGAAACTGCTGGTGAGCTGGTGAGGATGTCGCATCCATCCCTCCTCTGCCATAGGGTTGTTTTTTGCAAAAGTAGGAAGCAAGAATAAATGGCAAAGGGATAAATGGGAAATCCTGTGGGCTTCAAGGCTATCACAGTACCAAGCATCTGGGATATGTCTGGGAATGA